AATGAATCAAAAAGAAAAAAAAAGTTCCCTAGCAATTAATTCCAGGCGAAACAACAACAAAACTAAACGTCGGGCTGTAAAAATTTATGAATGAATAAAGCAGAATCAGGCGAAATACCGCCAAAAGGCAAGACAGAAAAACAAAACCAAAAAAAAAAAAAAAGTAATAATAAAAAGGCAAGGAAAAATAAGCAAACAAAACGAAAATCACAAATAGTAAGTGAGTACAAAGTGGCGTGCATATGAAATATAAAACAGGCGATATAGCCCACTACAAACGCACAAAGCCACATGCAAACACACTCGCATACACATGCGGCACTCTGAATATGAATGAATGAATTGTAGAAGCAGCACAACTACAGCAACAACAACAAAAAGTTGTTAACGCAGCAGTTCCACGAACTAAAAAAAACAAAAAACCAACGACAACCGCAGAAGACGAAAAAAAGATCTGTGAACAAGAAATTTGAAAGGTAACAAAAAACTGAAATTAAAACAAAAAACTTAAAAATCAGAAACACGAGCAAGTGTGTGTTGGCAACTCGTTTTCCAGTTTTCCACATTTCCATGTGCAGCAGCTGCCCACAAATTGTGCGTGGAGTGGCAGGGGAGGGGTATTGGAAGTGAAGGGGGTCTGGAAAGGGGGGAGTTCAAATTATGAATAAATAAGAAGTTGCTCCAAGAGCGAACAGCTAAAAATCAAAATAAATACACAAAAACAATACAAAACAAAACGGGGATAACAGATAACTTTGTTTAGTTGATAAATAGATACCCTTCCTTTATTTAAATTTAACTTACTTAGTGTAATTCTCTTTTTTTTTGAATCCTCAAAAAAATAATTCAGATAATTCTCATAATATTCATATTCTGTCAATAACAATTGAAAGCCAGGTTAAGGCTTCGTGACCATGGTGTCAAACACCTATCATTAACCAAATTATCTTATATTGCAGGGTATAAAAAGGCAACAACGAATGCAGTTGGACTTCAAGCCAAAGTCGGCGACGCGCCCACGGGCAGAGGCAATAGCAGCGAAGTCAACAGAGGGGGAAAAAGGAGAATGAGAAGCTGGAAGCAGCGATAAAAAAGAGGAGCCCCAAAAGACAAAGCCGGAGAAGAAAAGAAGAGGAAGAAGCCGGTTTGCAGGAACCCGCCTAGAAAGAGGGAAAAAGGAAGAGCAGGAAGAGAAGGATGAAGGGGATTTAGGCACACGCAAAAAAGGAAGGAAACAAACATCAAGCTCCAATGACAGAGGAAACAACAACAAAATCGCCGTGGGAGAAAGGGAGACAACGGCAACAAGATCCACTCGTCGCTGCTTTTTATTCCCATTTCCAATTCCATTTCCATTCCCCCCATTCATCAACTGCATTTTAATTCTTTTTTGGTTTTCTTTGCCTTTTTTATTTTTTTTTTTTTTGTCTCGAGAACCAGCTACTTTTGTTGTTTTTGTTGGCTAGCGAGTATGAATGAAAACGAACGTGTTTCTTGAGAGCGATGGCAAGCGAGGGCCCCAAAAAGAGAGCCAAAGAGCGCTGGGGAGCAGCGACGCTGGCTGCGTCGTCGACTGCGCGGGGATGAATGAAATAAGCAACAAAATGAATGAAAGTTGTGGGGCTCTCGCAGTCGACGTTGCTGCCGGCGTCAACGTCAGGCTCTCACGCTCACTATTCTGGTGGGGATCGCTCTCTCTCTCTCTCTCTCTCTTTGAATTTTTGAATTTTTTATATTTTTTATACAAATCAAATCATAGCTCACATATTTAATAAGCAAAAATTAAATTTGCTTTATTTATTGTTTCGTTTCGTTTGGCTCGTTTCGTTTTGCTTCTTGTTATTTTCAAAAAGTTTATGATTAATGAGAGATGATTAAGTCGTATGAGTGTGCGTGTTCGAGTGTGTGCGTTAATATCTGTGTGTGCGCATATAATTAAAATAAGGGCAGCCTTTTGGCATACACTTAGACAAAATAGGCAGAAGTTTTAAAGAAAAATGTCCTTCTTAACACTTTTATTTCTAGAAAAATGTATCTGGAAAGTTGGTTTGATTTTCTTTTAAAATTGGAAAAAAGGCTGAAATTATAAAGAAAAAGGAATTTGCTGTTTAGGGCAAATTTATATACTTTAAGACCCCCTCGAATGCCAAGTGTATCTTTCGTCCACATAATGTAAACTAAATTTACGTGCCTGGCTCTCGATCTTTTTCTGCTTCTTCTGGGCCCGCGATGTTCCCCCTTTTTTTATGTGCCATCCCCATTTTCCATTCAGCATCTGCGCAGTTGTCGCCGTTTTTGCATGTTTTTTCTGCCTTTTTCCGTTTTTTTTTCGTTTTTCTGTTTTAGTTTTTGTGATTTTATATTTTTTTTTTGTTTCTGTTGCCATTTTATGGCCGCGATCATCTAGCGCCGAGCGAAAAGTTCAGGCTGCCAGTTGTTTTCAGTAAGGGACTCGAATGGGGTCCCACATCTAAATACACGAAGAGATATGTATATAGGATTGTACATACGATTGTACATATTCGTAGGTATAATGGGGTGGACCATGCTGAGGTGATCTGGTACAACTTACGATTTTTATTGCGATAATTATCACAGTGCGTATGAGTAATAAACTTTTAAAAACAATAAACTTATATAATATTTTGATGCAAAACCATGCTTATTTTAGGGAATCTACACATTTCATAAACCTTAAAAAATCGTAATTATAAAAACAATATAATTTTTGGTTCCCTGAGTCACCCACTACGTATGAGTGATATTCCCAAAAACTTTATACTTGGAAATAAAAATCCTATTTTTAACGTACGCAACTTTGGTCCACCCTTTTGTACACTACACATTTCGTATATTTAGTTGGGCACTGACTTTAGTCTTGGGTTTGCGTTGACATTGAAATTGTTTGCGCTTTGTTGATCTCTACGCAGCGATAAGACATAAATACATAAATACTTTTTACGTTTTTTTCGGGTTCCTTTTCTCTCGCTGGCTGACTGCCCCCTCGGCAAAAAACTGAATCTGAATACCCCAAATCCCCAATGTGATTTTGTATTATTTGTTTTTATAAACATTAAACAATACTAAGATCGTTTTAGCCCCAACGATTTGGACAGATGGCAATGCAGTGTTTATTGTTGTTTTTATAGAAAACACTGAGATTTTGCTGATCAGAGTTTGGATCAAGTGTTCTTTTCCTTTCTGGATTTATTAGCTTGCTTAATAAAACACTTTATTAGGCTTTCTAAACTAACTTTTTATGTTCTTAGTGCCATCATTAGTTGTAAAATTAGTTTTATCAGAACAATAATAATAATATTTCCTATAATCTCTGAAAATTCCCTAAACTCTACATATCAGGCTTTAATTCCGAGTAATTGTTTATCAAGTTTTTTAGGTGCTCCCCCAGAGTGATATCACATCTGGGGCTTAAGTTGCCACATTGAGCTGCAACTTACTTTATCGCGATCATAACCAAAAACCAAGTACAATCCAAAAATACGAAAGAAAAAAAAAAACCGAGAAATTCCCATTATTAACACATATTTTAGTACATTGTTCTCGCTGTTGGCAAACAAAAACGGCGGGCCAAAAGATGCATAACAAATTACCATAAAACGTTGTCCAATACATGAGATCTCTTTCTGGCCCGACACTCTCTGTGTGTGTGTGTGTGAAATAATAGATAAAATATACTAGACAAATGTGGCAGCAAAGGAAAAGCAAAAGCAGCAAAAACAACAACAACGGCAGCAAAGACAACGATGTTTTGTCACATTACGTATACGAAGAGTTGACAGAGTGAGTGAGTGAATGACTGACGTATTGCCTGATTGACAGCAGCAACAGCAAGAGGTAGCGCTGCACATTTCGAGATACATGTATATATTTATATATTTCGAGAGTTTATTTCAAATGCAAATGTATTCCGCGCGCAGAGATCTCTTTTTTTTTTGTAGGAGGATCATTTAAAGGAGCAAATGAATGAATGAATGAATGGGTGAATGAGCGAGTGAGGGAGTGACTGCACGTTAGCTTGGCACTTTGCCCAGGGCAGAGGGGAATGGGGAGTTATTCAGGAAGATGGGGGGCTGGGCCGGGCCACAGACCGGAAACAAACGACGTGACTTTTCACTGAAATATGAATCCAACTATGCGAATTGCCTGGGAATTATGTATATCTTCATTGACTGAATATACATTATAATAATATTAATAAATGCATATGGCTATATTATGCTATAACAAACGATCCCACACAAACGCTGCGTAAATATCTTTCTTTGGCATTGTTTCTTTATAATCGGGTTCTTTTTTTTGCCAGCAAACACGCTTTTGTTGGCTTATCTTATCGCCAAATTATTTTGCCTGCCTGCTAAGCTCACTCTCTTTTTGCCTCAGTTTCAGTCTGTTCTTGTTGCCTTTTTATCGCTCAGTTCAAAAGGCAAAAAAAATAATAATAAAATCATATATTGGAAGGTTCTAACGACTGTTAGATAGCCTACTTTAATAAATTCAAATTTTGTAAGATTTTAACTTTCAAGATTTTCCAAGCTCATTTCTGTTATTGATTAACTAAATAAAAATACATTTCCCAAGAAGTTTCTTGTAATGGAAATTTCTAAAGAATCACAGCCTTCCCATATAAACAAAACTAATCAATCTGACTAACATACATAAGATATAAACACACATACAGATATCATATATATATCACACATATATATGAGTCAAGATAGTACCATATATAATTGTTGAACATTTTGCTCATCAACAACATTTTGCTCTTCAATTATTTCCATTTCTTGGAAATCTGTTATCAGAATAACTCGCCAGACCTCGAAAAGCCATAAAACAAACAAAAAAATATCAAGAGAAAAAACCAAGAAGAGTTATAAAGGAATACGAAACCGATATAGCAAATGGGTTAGGTTAGCACTTGGCCAGGGTAAACAATCTATATTTATATATACCATTATTATGTTGGGTTTTCCACTCACCTAATGACTCCTCATGATCGGAAATGTCCGACAAACTGCAGAGATCCTTGCAGCCATGTATGGGCTCCTCCTTGATGAAGATATTTTTCGACTGTGAAAGAAATGAAATTTTGAAATGAGTTTTGGGTTTTAAGTTTAAAAACTGATTCATTAAAGCTTATAAATATGACATCTTATTATTTCATAACTTTTATATTTAAGAAGAAAACAAAATCTTATGAGTCACAAAAGCTCAAAAACATTTGGATTCCAGGGGCATTACTTAGCAAAAGTTTTTGATTGTTTTTAAAGATTAAAATGTTATAGAAACCAGCTGCTTTTTATTATAACTAATTAAGAGCAAACTCATATATAAACTACATAAACACTATTCCATATTTATTAGACTTTCTATAAATTCCAAATCCTTACTTTGATTGACTTTCCAAACAATCTTTGGCATGTGGCTTACTCCTCATTTAGTTGTTAATTAGAAAGCCATTTATTAAGCACAAACCATCTATCTATCACTTTTGTTTGTTGTTCCTGGCCGAGATCATTCCCCCCACAGCCATTTGCATCTTCTAGTCTAGTTTTTCTCTCTCTCTCCCCAAAGAGGTGTTCTACCCCATCATCATCATCATCCCAAACAGACATTCATGATTCTGTGTTGTACATATTTATAAACAAGCCACTTTTACCCAATTACAAAAGTATGTCTGCGAGTGTGTGTGTGCTTGTGGCTTGCCCCTCGTTCGTTGTAACGTAAAACTGAGGCAGAATAATAATAATAATCAGAGCTACAATAGCTGCAAAGTCGTGGCATAGATTGCCGGCAATTGACTGCGGACTGCCCCAATGTGATTGTGTCCCATGGGTCCAGCCATCTGATCCGATGTTGAACGCGTTCTAATAAATTGAATTGTACGTTTGACTTGCTCATAAAAAACACACACGGACTGCGTCGATTAATGATAATGGAGGTCACATCTAGTCAAACGAAATGCTTCGTACATATCATAATCAATTTTCCAAGCGAATATTTTGAGTATCCGAACTCCCAATTTGGAATCCAACTTTTTGGTTTCCTTACAATCCACAAGTCTTCAATTACTTGGCTTTCTTCTTGATCATGGAAACCCAAAACTTTGGCTCCACCAAAAGGCCAGACATTGTAGATCGGATTACCTGGCTGCATTTTCCAAGCGACTGAGCATGCGCATGTCCTTTTTTGGGTTTTTTTTCTTAAACGTGGAAAGGATCAGCTTGGGGTCACAGGCTGTTGGCCCCGAAAGACCGGATGAAAGTGGTCAACGGCTTGGCGGAGCAACGGATATGCTTACCGCAGGCGATGTGTCAAATGCCTTCACTTGGGACCTGTCACCGATGGTCGGCCGTCAAGTTCTTATGGCAGACAAGGAATCCCAAAGAGAGAGCGAAAATATAGAGGAAGGGCTGAGTTTGATAGCCGAAGATTTGAGTATTCTGGGATTTAAGGGAATCTTCTTTAAGGATTTGAATTCTTTAAAACAAATCTATGCCGCCTAGGGCATAAATTAACCATTTTGACTTAGTTTTTACAATAATTCTAAGGTGATACTTCAATATAAAGTTATTCATTATCTACTTGTATGAAATCATCAAATTAAGGTTTGCTAAATTATCTAATTAGTAAGTTCTGTAACTTCCAAGAACTAATTTATTAGGATTATTAGATTATTAGGATTTCAAACTATAATCTTTCTTCTATAACTTATGCTATTCCATCAAATCGAAACCAAAAAAGTATGTCAAAGGATGACAAAAAAGGTATTTCCAGTTTTAAGAACAAGTTCCCTTAAAAGAGTATTCAAAGACATAAAAGAAAAAGAATTTCATAAAAAGGAAACTGCAGCCGGGGAAGCCTTACGATGAAGAATTCCTTTGTTTGACTTTGTTTTTTTGTAGGTCGGTTACGCATATTGAGGTCCCAACTTCTTAAGGCGTAACAACTTATTCCAAATTTTGATCAGGCCTTTTGTCTATCCAAAATGCGTCATAAGCCAAGTGGCACGCTTATGACTTTTATAAGCAAATAAACAAAAGATGATTTTTACACAAAAGATGCCCCCTTCCAATGGAATGCCAAACGAATTTGCAACACTCTTACTTGAGATTTCAACCCCATGATCAGTTCTCTTGGAAATTATACTTAATGTTAGGGTATCCCCCGAAAGTAGGGTGTTTGCTAATAAAAAAAAAAGGCAAAGCAACAAAGCATAATACATAATAATTGCGTTTTGTTTGGTCTACCAAATTTAGAATGCGATTTACGTGATATGCATTTGCAAAACGATCCCACTGTCATTGGGTCTGTCCCATTGCAGTGGCTGTCAAACTGGGATAGAAACCGATGGACAGGCTATCGATCACTTGATCAGCAAATTCACTTATACGTTTGGGCTTATATATAGAAATTATAGATTTATGCAGCCGATCGATCAGCGACGTGCAGTCATTGCTACCTAGTTTTGAGTTGAGATTAAGATTTAAGGAGAGGTAATGGGTAAAGCTAATGATTATCAAGGTTTTACTAGGTCAAAAGGGGTTACAAAAGGCTTACTTAAACTTCTTAAGAGGTCAAGAACATTACAAATAAATGCTTAAACTAACTTGGATTAGTCTTACTTAACACCCACTCCATGATCATTATAGAAATTCCTCCCCTAATAAGACAACTTAAACTAAATTAATCTAAAACTTAAACTTCCTTTTACTCACCTCAACTAAGCTGGATAGAAAGGTAACTTTGCGGTTTTTCTTGAGCCTCATGGTGCTAACGACTTGGCCCGAATGATTGTTGCTGCTGCTGCTGCCACTACTATGGTTAATGCCGTTGAGTTGGCTCAAAAGCGAGGGATTTCCAGAGGAATTGAAATGATTACCAGCTGCCGGGGTCTTGAACAGGTGATGTCCGTTGATGGCGTTCAACTGGAAGAACTCCTGAGCCGCCTTGTCGAGGAAGTGGGATGCCGTTGAAGCCACCGCCGATGTGGAACCAATATTAGCAGATGTGGGCAAAGCGGGGGGAAGCATAAATTTTGTGGCAGATAGATCTGTTTTACAAAAAGCCAATTCCATATTGCGCAGGCATCTAGAAGGGAGGAGAGGAAAAAGAAAAGCAATAAAATAAACAATTAGCTTTGGCTAATAATAAACAAATCGCTGCAATTATTACTGGGGTGTGAGGGTGTGTTTGTGAGTTGTTTTAATTATCGCTCAATTATTGGCCATTTATTAGACCTCGTTGGCACCTCCCACCACTGGCGTTCGCACCTCTTTTCATGGCAATCTCACCCTCTCTCTCTCCCCCTCTCTGTCTCTTTTACTATCCACAATTATTTGCTTAAGGAATTATGACAGTCAGTCTGTTGGTGCAACATCAAAAGTCTCCGCCAGCCCACCACAACAAAAGGTGCCGACGACGGGGCACGCTTTTATTTTGTTTACACCTCAGCATCCATCTATGGCAATTGGAGGATAGTAAACCCAAAAACCAAGTCAAAGGGTTTCAAATTTTCTAAATATATTTCTAATGGGTTTCGTTCTCTCTTTGGAGTTCTCAAATATTTGCCCAGACCAAGCAACCGCTTGATGATCATCTTGGATGTGAGTTTCAAACGAAAGAACAACAACATGAAAAGTTACTTTGAAGTGTCGCCACAAAAAGAGATTCAGGACAGGAAGATCACACAGATTTTATTTCAGGAATGTTGCCCAATTAGTGTATTTAGTCCCTTTGCTTTTGGTAGGAAATGTGTCCCATTTCTTAATAGCTTTTTGCGGTTTCCCATAAAAACTTTATGATCCTTTTAGTTTTCAACTTTCAAGATTAAATGGCAAATTGCGTCTCGCTTAATCACTTATATTAATAATTGTATTAAAGATTTCTATTTGAATACAAACCGCATTCAAATCTAAAACGAATAACAATAAATCTTTGTAATTTTTATCACCGGAAGTGGGAGAAAAGCAGCCCAGAGCAGCAGTTGAGAAGAACTCCCCAAAGACGACCCCAAATGAGGGCTCTTGCCTGTGTCGGTAGTAGCCGAAGTATAAATAACACAGCCCCTGCGATAATGTCCAGTAATTACGCATTTAATTTAATATATATTTACATGAAATGTACTTTGATTAAAGCTTAGTGCTGATAAATATGGAGAACAAAAAAGTTTAACCTAAAAAATGAGGGGCGATAATGTGGAGACTAGACTTAGCTAGAAGTGATTTAAGGAGAGTTTGAGGGAGGTTGGATGGATTAAGGAAGTTAAAAGCAAGGAATTTATAATTAATTGATATACTAAAATAAAATATCATAAACTCTCATACCATTTCTGGAATGTAAAGAGATCATTTAAGTTTAAGTAATTAAATCCCACTTAATAGAAAAAGTGTTTACTTTATAAACTAGTAAAAGAAGTTTAAAAAGTTTGTGGGATATTTATAGTGAATAAAATTTGATATTATAAAATATTTTAACAAAATAATCTTTGTTCCTAGTTAAAAATGAATCATTCCTTCTTAATAATTTCAAATTTATGTAATATCAAAGTTTTAAATCCATAAAATTGAGTTAACTTTTGTTACAACTTTTAAGACCCCACAAATATTATTGTTTTCTTCGCAGTAAACGCCTCCACGTCACTTGAAGCTTATCTACATAAAGGTATATAATATATATATATATACACATATCTAGAGCTACATCTTGAAAGTATCTTTAAGCACTGGCTGCCTAATTAGATACGTTATGCAAATGTCGGGATACTGTTGTCGCATCGGTGACGACTCCACCAAAGACCGTCTCCCTCGCTCTCGTACTTTGCCATTCGGTGAGTGTGTGGCCAACAGTTATCTAGCCGCCTTATCAGCCATGTATATACACATATATACACACATATGTATATGTAAATCTGCGGTATAAATACAAGTGAGTATGGGTTGAAGAAATTCCGCCATATTCACAATGAACCAAGGGAAGAAAAAGGAGGAAAAACCGAATAATTTTGACTCTTTGAAGGTTTAAGATCTTTGCATTCTGATCATAGAATGAGAGAGGCATCAGAATATCTTGAAACTCAAACTTGGGTAGGTTAAAACTCCTCTAAAACTGTTCAAGATCATAGATAAGGTCTTATATAACTTAGTTCTAATATATAGTGTTATATTCAACCGATCAAAAGAAGGAATACCCCTTTCTGCCTAGGGCAACACTGTCATGTTGCATAAATTTTCAGCTTTTTCTCTTGCGAAATCAATTTCGATTTGATTTGCTGATTTATTTCGTGTCCGTGGTCGTTGCTGGCCAGCTGGGCAGTTATGTATTCACTTCCACAAAAAGTATATATATAAATATATATATATAGAGATATATATAAAGAGATAAAGTATATATACAGATCAAGTGAGTGGACTAAAAACGAATTTAAGTTAATCAACATTTAAATGGATAATAAAAATCAGCAACTGCAACGCCGCAAAAAGTTGATTTATTTCGCGCCTCTCAGTTTTCCTGCCGCCCCATTGCAATCAATTCAATGTAGAACAGCAATAATACGAAAACCGCAACAACATTACTAAATCTGCACACAATCTATATGTATTTTCATTCTGTGTAGATGGATATATATATATATAGATTGAGAGTGCATATGATGGCTGCAAGTACTGAGTGCACTTTTCACACGAAAATAATTTATTGACGCATAAAAGTGGCCAAGATAATTGGCAACTTTTGGCAAGTCCAATTGATTTCTTGGTTTTTGGGTAAGGAAAATAGAAAAATTTGAACTTTCTAGTATTAATAGTCAGTGAAATTTGTCATAGAAAAGTTATGACACTCAGCTGAAAATACTTGTGAATGAAAAACAGCAACTAATAGTTAGTATTTTTAACGAAAAGTCATAAAAACTCGAAATCTAAGATCGTTTGAGTAAACAAGTTCAAGTGAATGGATTTGGGGGAAATACAATTCGACGAAGAGATTAAAATTTGACTTTATTTCATCAATCAATTAAACATGACTTGACGCCTGACTCTTATCAAGTTGAAAGTATTTTCAAGCAAATTCCTCATTTTATAAGTAAAAACTAGACAAGTCATACTTATTAGAAGTAAAATTCCATGCTTACAGATAGTACTAGTTAAATACTTGTTACCAAGGGACAGACTTTATAGAAAACCATTTAATGAGTTCAAAACTAAAACTCATTTACAAAAATCAAATTCGATTTGCAACATTTCGAGTGCTTGGCACTAAAAAACCATTCGGCAGGGTGCCAAAAAAAAATACGAAAAAACAGAGTCGCAATCGCCAAACTATCTGAAAACACAAAGCCTTATCGCCCAGACACGTAGATAACCGAAAAAAAATAAAAATAATAATATAGAAAGAGGGCGACAACAAAAAACCACACAAATCGAAACGAAAATCGGAGCATATGTTTTCCCTGGAAAAGAGCAAAAATCTTCCCTTTCTTTTTTAGTTGGGAGGGCCAAACATTAAAGTGGACCAAAGAAGTGAAGATGTCTGGTGAGGAGGAGTCTGTGCACAGCAGATGCTGCAGGAACAGATTGTAAACGAATATGATCTTTCGATATGGTGCACACTCCTCAACCAGACATCAGCAACAACAATAACAACGACAACCAAATAGGGGTGCAATTTTTCGGTGTGTACGTAACGGTAGAATACACACACACACACACACACACATTTTCAGTGGCTGCTCTTTCCCAGCCAGCGCCTTAAAGAAGGGATCTCTACGATCCCGAATCCGCTGATGATCCTCGGGATGCCTGCCTGTGCGCACATGTGTTCTTCTATCTGTCGCATGCTGTGTGTGTATGTGTGGAGTATCTGTGTGTATGTACCATCTTGTCATGGGATCGATCTTGATCTCGGCCTGTCGTCTGCAGCAGGTTGATACTTTTAGCATCGGTCCCCGAAGAAGAATCCCAGTTTAACGTGGCATGGGGCAACGAACCAAGACCAAGACCAAGACTAAGACCGACCGACCGATCGACCATCCACTGAACTGTAATTGTCTGATGTGGGTATTTATGGAAAAGGATCTTGAACTGGTCTTTCATTTAGGGGGAGAGAGAGAGAGTGTAGGAGACAGGGGGGCAAGAACTGGGCTCAATTATGATCCAACGATCGTCACACATCAAATTATCGATTATGGCAATAATTTCTTATCATTCTTCTTTCTCTTTTTGCAACTTTAGAGGTTGGCATTTTCTTAAGGATCTTTAACTTATCTGGAGAGCTAAGAATAACAAAAAGATACTTCAGTTTAATCAGGTTTTACGATCATCGATACGTCGATCGTCAAATGATCTTTTATGGTCATCAAATAGCCTTAATCTTTAGGTTTGAGTGGTATTTTTAAGTAAGTTTCATTCATAAAGTAAGTCTCTTAAAAAGTCTATTAAAAATAATTAAAACAAATTAAAAATAAAAAAAAAGATCAGTACAATGGAATGTCAAAACATGATAACCTATGTTAGAATGTCAATAGAAAAATGAATCATTTATTCTTATTTTTTTTAATCATTTAATTTGGAATATTAGAAGCTAGAAGAATTTCCATTCTCTTTCAACTTTAACGCAATTTAAATGTAATTTTAACAACCTTTTGATCCCTGTTCTTCTAATAATTACTTTGATTTAAATCCCATATCAGAAAATCCTTTTGAAACCTTTTCAGGTAACTCGAAGTGCGGACAGGAAAATCCCAATTATGGCTTCTAACAGCCAAACCCCTTTGATTTTTCTTGCTGAAAGGTCAAGAGAGTAGCACTGGCGTATCTTTTTTATTGATACTTAATTGTCTAATGCGATCGTTGTTCCACATTCTTGGCCCTAACCAAATAGCGTTCGTTCGTTCACACATTCTCGATTACAGAACTGTTTTTTTTCTTTCGATTTGATGACCCGAAAGGCTATCGAGGAAAGGGGGAAAACCGAAGCTCATTTGCGGCACCGGAAGCTGTAAAAGGAACAGTAGTAATTTCGATCGTGTTCCCACAAGGGTTGTGGAAGTGCCCCACACATACACATACAGCCTGCTGGCCAAACACATACACTGTCAGTTAACTAGCTTGGCTATGAAGAGGTAGAAAACCAATTCAAATTCTGTTGGCCAACAACGAGTTTATAGAGGCAGCAATCCTGAATCGAGGCGAGATCGCGAGATCGGCAGATCGCTCGGTAGCCAAACCAGTTTTTCATTCCTAGATTCATTCATTCAAGAAAACAGGCAACACCAACACAGAAAGGGTTTACATACGTACACTTGGATTAAAAACTATTTATATTTAAATTATTCATTTTTATGATAGAGATTTTTAAGGAAATATATAGAAAATAACATGAAATTACTTCCCAAAACAAGGAAATTTCTTTCAAAGTAAAAAACTCACAAAATTTCCAAAATTTTGAAAGATATTACTAATAATATTAGCTCGAAATGGACTTACTCATAAGTTCTTGATGATTTTAAGATATTTTTGTACATTTTTTTATAAAGTATGACTTGTTTGAAACTGAAAATGGGTTTAATTTGTATATAACATTGAAAAGGAACTAAAAATGTTGAGTTTTTTACTATAAGAATGTAAAAAGAAGTTTGTAATGTTCTTCAAAAACTAAAATAAATCCAAAAAAGCAATATTCGAGTATTCAGGAAGATTTTTTGAAGTTTAAATCAAATTTTTCACAGTGTACATAGGTAAAATAACAAAAACTAATACTTGAACTACTGTTTTTCAACACTTCACTTCACTTTTCTTACCGGTGCGGAGCAATAAAATAGCGCCCCTCAGAAACGGGGAAGGCGGGGGTCTTCTGGGTTCTTAATTCTTGTAGGTTCTTCGTTCTGGATTCCCGTCTTTCGGTTGAGATTGTATTTTTTTTTTGTTTTATTAGGGTATCCAAATTAATTACAGCTTCAAATTAGGCGCACAATCTTGATGGAGTCGGGAGCACCGATGACTATCTCTGGCGCGCTCTCTCTCTTTCTCTCACTCACTCCCTTTTACACTATAATATGGTATAGGTGTATATATATGTTTTAACCCTCCGGTGGGATCGGCAGATCAGCAGGTTGATTAGGGGGATAGAGAGAGGGATAGGGATTACGTGCCCGGGACAAAGACAGAGGCCAAAAAACCAAAGACCGAAAAACCGAAAGGAACAACTTGCAACGAAATCGAGGATCGGTTTTAGCTCGGCTTATAAGACGCGCAAAAGAAACAAAAACGGAGGAAGAAAAGGCCGACGGATCCGCGCATACAAACAAACACACAGGCAAAACACACACGCGATGTTTGAGGAGATTTTTGTGGTTTTATGATGGATTTTGGTATATATAGATTTTGGTTTCCTCTGGTTCTTAACCGTTTTTTGGCTTACATTAACCTTTATAATGCTCAAGCAGATCTTTTTATATTGCTTATTCACTCACACACATGTTGTTTTTAGTATTTGTTATTAAATTTTAGAATTATTTCTATTATTTTACATTAATTCATTGAAATCACTTTTACCGTAGCGCAAAGTGCACGCTGACCGAAAGAGAGACAAAAACAGACTAAACGAAGGCGGCAACAGGCGGCAGCGACGCCGGCGTCGGCGCAGACGCAGCGTCGAAGCCAACGCCGACGCACTGCCAGTGTAGCTCTCAATCTCTCTCGCCCTCTCTCTCTGTCTCTCACACTTTAGCAAAGATTAATAATTTGTTGTTATTGTTGTGCTCGCCCAACTGATAACAAAATATCGCAAATAATAAAAATCGAGAGTAAGTCCCAATGTGCTTTATAAATATTATTCACTTTTTTTCTTGGATCACCCAGAGATCACTGAGAAAATAATGAGATAAAATGGCGTGGGCGATCCTCACCTTCTCTTTCTCTTTCCCACTCCCACTAGAGCGTGCATCATGAGCGCAAAAACAAAAAAAAAGAAATAAGAAAATCAGAATTACATATTTTGAGCAGCAAAAACAAAGTGTTTGCGGCGACAAAAAAATAGCAACAATTTAAAAAAATCTGCTTGCTCAGAACTATGTGTAAGTGCGAATATGCGAGTGAGTGAGTGTGGGTGTGTGTGCGGGCGAGCGTTTTTTTTAGCAATCATTGAAGACAGTGTCCAAAAGCTTGAGAATATTTAAATATTCATAAAGGGGTGGCGAAATATTAATTGAATGTGAATTTGGCGAGCACAAAAACTTTAAAGGCACACTGTACAAAAATATTATTTGTAATAGGCAAACAAAACTGCAAACTATATAAAATAACTTTAAAGCTCGACTTTATAGCTTCTGGTTTTAATTACTTCCATATTCGAAATAGGTCTTCAAACTTGTATTCCCAATATTATGTTAAATTCCTAATAAAAAAATTTGTTGTATAGATCAATGATAATATATTTCCGGTTATAATAAAATTTGCAAAAATATGGGAAAATAGGGAAATGGGAAATTAAAATTACCCTCGAACAGCCCCTACAAAATTTTATTCAAAAGTAACATTTTCCCATGGTGACCATGACAACCACTGTGCGTTCGAAAGCCTCTCTTTCCCGCAAAACCAAAAACAAAAACAGGTTTATATGTTCGCGGAGAGTGTGTGTGCGATAGAGCGAGAAGGTAAATCTCAAATGACTGCGATGTTTTTTATATTCTGGCAACGCATTTCGCATAAATTACAAATTACAGAGCATAAGTAAATGCATGTGCAGGGGCGGCATGAAAAAACAACCAGCTGCACCCAGAAAAGGCAATAAGATTCGGGATAACGATACATGATTCCATTCCCGATTTTCCTGGCCAAAAGGGAAATTTCAAAAACCAGCCTTGCATAACAAAACACGTGCAACAAAAATATACATAGCTGATTGTCAACCACTGCTGCAGTTTAATTGTTGCAACAAAAGGTACAAATTAAAAGTAAAAAAAAGGGGCAACAAGTGCAGAAAGAGAAAATAAAACTGAAAGAGCGCATGCGCGCAGCTCTACAGCTCTCTCTTTTCCTCTTTAGCGGTGCATTTTTACAACTCGTGTAGGTGAGCCGGATTTTTATGAATGAATGCGTTTGTGTGCGGGACTGCATGATGCCATTTGCAGTGGAAAACTAGACACAAAAAATGCGCATTAAGAAGTTAGAAAAGAAAAGCGAAGTAGGCTGAGCACACACATGGTCAACAGGCTGACTCAAGTGCCCAGCAGCTGTCCTTTAAAGTGACAACAAATTGGCCATTTAATGTCCATTATGAACATAACCAGGAATGCCTTAAAAGTAATTAAATTTAAATTTTACTATTTGACTATAAATTTTGGAAGATTTTTGAAGCCAAATAAAGATTTGTTTTTATTACTGCTTATAAGTTTAATTTAATTTTAATGATTTATGGGCGGTAAATATACCAAGCTTACGAAATCTTATTATCATTTATCATATTTTCAATAAACACTATTATTCATAATTTTGAATAATATATTTTAATAATTTAATATAATCTTAAAAAATAACTTATTCTGTAGAATTAGTAGTTTCATATTTATATTTTCAAAAATTATCTTGTTGGCGCCAAATATTCCCCTATTCCAGTGTTGAAAAACTCTACCATGCCAGTATTTCTCACAACGCTTTAGTACGTTTTCGACAGTTTGCAGATTTTTGGCGGCAAATTGTTATTTACATTTATTTATTTTATTTTTGCAAAACAGCACGGAAATGGCAGACTCCGGCAAAGGAAAAGTGCTGCAAAATACGGGTAAATTCGTTAGCGAAAGCCGGACGGAAGGGTAAGTAATAAAAGTACCGGAAAAGGAAGATCATAAAAAAGATTTTCCTGATCTTTTAGGGACGACTTCTTCAATGAGGCGGGTTATCGCCAATCCCGGGAAAACGACAAAATCGACTCAAAATATGGCTTTGATCGGGTTAAAGACAGTCAGGAGCGGACGGGCTACCTCATTAACATGCACTCGGTGAGTTAGGAGCACCTTATAACATTGAGGATAAATGTAATAAACTCTCTTACAGAACGAAGTCTTGGATGAGGACAGGAGACTCATAGCCGCCCTGGATCTTTTTTTCATCCAAATGGATGGTTCCCGCTTCAAATGCACGGTGGCTTATCAACCATATTTGCTCATTCGTCCAGAGGACAATATGCACCTGGAAGTGGCTCGATTTCTGGGTCGCAAGTACTCCGGCCAAATTTCCAGCTTGGAACACATTACCAAAGAGGATCTGGATTTACCGAATCATCTTTCGGGCTTACAACAGCACTACATAAAGTTATCCTTCCTGAATCAAACAGCCATGACTAAAGTTAGAAGGGAACTAATGTCAGCTGTGAGAAGGAACCAGGAGCGACAGAAATCCAACACCTACTACATGCAAATGCTGGCTACCTCATTGGCCCAATCCTCAGCTGGTTCCGAGGATGCTACGATGGCCAAGAAACAGCAGGATTACATGGACTGCATTGTGGACATAAGGGAGCACGATGTGCCCTACCACGTACGAGTATCCATTGATTTGCGTATTTTCTGTGGACAATGGTATAATATCAGGTGCAGAAGTGGCGTGGAACTGCCAATCATCACCTGCCGACCGGATATCCTGGACAGACCCGAACCCGTTGTCCTGGCCTTTGACATAGAAACTACCAAGCTGCCCCTCAAGTTTCCCGATGCTCAGACAGATCAAGTTATGATGATCTCCTACATGATTGATGGTCAGGGTTATCTAATAACCAATCGGGAGATCATCTCTTCCAATGTAGATGACTTTGAATACACACCCAAGCCGGAGTTTGAGGGAAACTTTATAGTTTTCAATGAGGAGAACGAGATGCAGCTGCTCCAGCGTTTCTTTGATCATATTATGGAGGTCCGACCACACATCATAGTTACGTACAACGGTGACTTCTTTGATTGGCCCTTTGTGGAGACTCGAGCTGCTGTCTATGATCTGGACATGAAGCAGGAGATTGGCTTCTCTAAGTTTCGGGAAGGTAACTACCTAAGTCGTCCGTCTATACACATGGATTGTCTGTGCTGGGTGAAGCGAGATTCCTATTTACCCGTTGGATCTCAAGGTCTAAAGGCAGTGGCCAAGGCTAAATTGCGCTACGATCCCGTGGAACTAGATCCGGAGGACATGTGTCGGATGGCAGTGGAGCAGCCTCAAGTGCTGGCCAATTACTCTGTATCCGATGCCGTGGCCACTTACTATTTGTACATGAAGTATGTTCATCCGTTTATCTTCGCCTTGAATACGATTATTCCCATGGAACCCGATGAGATCTTAAGGAAGGGTTCTGGCACACTCTGTGAGACTTTACTGATGGTGGAGGCCTATCATGCCCAGATCGTATATCCCAACAAGCATCAGAGCGAGCTGAATAAGCTCTCCAACGAGGGACATGTACTGGATTCGGAAACCTATGTTGGTGGTCATGTGGAGGCTTTGGAATCCGGCGTATTCCGTGCGGATATACCCTGCCGTTTTCGTCTAGATCCAACAATGGTTAAACAACTTCAGGATCAGGTGGATGCAGTTCTGAGACATGCCATTGAAGTGGAGGAGGGCATTCCCCTAGAAAAGGTTTTGAATCTGGATGAAGTCCGCCAGGAGATTGTGCAGGGATTACAGGGCCTGCATGATATACCCAATCGCTTGGAGCAGCCTGTCATCTATCACTTGGATGTGGGTGCTATGTACCCCAACATTATCCTGACCAATCGTCTGCAGCCTTCGGCCATGGTCACTGATCTGGATTGCGCTGCCTGTGACTTTAATAAGCCAGGAGTTCGCTGCAAACGCTCCATGGATTGGTTATGGCGCGGTGAAATGCTGCCCGCTTCCAGGAACGAATTCCAACGCATACAGCAGCAGCTGGAAACGGAGAAGTTTCCACCTCTCTTTCCTGGAGGACCACAACGTGCCTTTCATGAGCTCTCCAAAGAGGATCAAGCAGCGTACGAGAAGAAGCGTCTCACGGATTACTGCCGCAAGGCTTACAAGAAAACCAAGCTGACCAAATTAGAGACCCGCAATTCAACCATCTGCCAGAAGGAAAACAGCTTCTATGTGGACACCGTTCGAGCTTTTCGAGATCGCCGATACGAGTACAAAGGTCTCACCAAAGTGGCAAAGGCTTCCGTAAATGCTGCGGTGGCTTCTGGGGATGCGGCTGAGATTAAAGCAGCCAAGGGCAGAGAAGTGCTCTACGATTCCCTGCAGTTGGCCCACAAGTGTATCCTGAACTCTTTCTATGGTTATGTGATGAGAAGAGGAGCCCGCTGGCATTCCATGCCTATGGCAGGCATTGTGTGTCTCACTGGTTCCAATATCATCACCAAAGCCAGGGAAATCATCGAGAGAGTTGGTCGTCCTCTGGAGCTGGACACTGATGGTATATGGTGTATATTACCTGGTTCATTCCCGCAGGAGTTCACCATTCAAACTAGCCATGAGAAGAAAAAGAAGATCAACATATCCTATCCCAATGCAGTACTGAATACTATGGTCAAAGATCACTTCACCAATGATCAGTATCACGAGTTGAGAAAGGATAAGGAGGATAATCTGCCCAAGTACGATATTCGTGATGAAAACTCAATTTTCTTCGAGGTGGATGGTCCTTACCTGGCCATGGTCTTACCCGCTGCCAAAGAGGAAGGCAAGAAGCTAAAGAAACGATATGCAGTCTTCAATTTCGATGGTTCATTGGCTGAACTTAAGGGTTTTGAGGTCAAGCGGCGTGGTGAACTGCAGCTGATCAAGAATTTCCAGAGTTCCGTCTTCGAAGCTTTCCTGGCGGGCAGCACCCTTGAGGAATGTTATGCATCAGTGGCCAAGGTGGCAGATTATTGGCTGGATGTGCTTTACAGTAGAGGATCTAATCTCCCAGATTCTGAGCTTTTTGAACTGATTTCGGAGAACAAGAGCATGTCCAAGAAGCTAGAGGAGTATGGCGCTCAAAAGAGTACCTCTATTTCGACAGCCAAACGATTGGCTGAGTTTCTGGGTGAGCAGATGGTCAAAGATGCGGGTCTGGCCTGCAAGTACATCATCTCAAAGAAACCCGAAGGCGCTCCTGTCACCGAAAGAGCCATCCCTTTGGCGATTTTCCAATCCGAGCCAAGTGTAAGGCGTCATCACTTGCGTCGCTGGCTTAAGGACAACACCATGGGCGATGCCGATATTCGTGATGTACTCGATTGGAATTACTACATAGAGAGATTAGGTGGAACCATACAGAAGATCATCACCATTCCGGCAGCACTGCAGGGATTGTCCAATCCTGTGCCCAGGGTGCAACATCCAGATTGGTTGCACAAGAAAATGTTGGAGAAGAACGATGTCCTGAAGCAGCGTCGCATCAACGAGATGTTTACCAGCAGGCCCAAGCCGAAGCCTTTGGTTACAGAAGAGGATAAACTGGGTGATATGGAAGACTTGGCTGGAAGAGATGGCGGAGAAGATGCTGCAGGTCGGCCCACGGTCACCAAAAGAAAGAGAGTGCAGATAGACGAGAATGATGAAGAGGAGGAGCAACCACAGGCCACCACATGGCGTCAGGCTTTGGGCGCTCCTCCACCCATTGGTGAGACCAGAAAATCCATAATAGAGTGGGTTAAATTCCAGAAAAAGAAATGGAAGTGGCAGCAGGATCAGCGCCAACGCAGTCGTCAAGCCAGCAAACGAACCAGAGGCGATGAACCTCCAGTGGTGAGATCCACAGGAGCTACGGGTACTTTAGGAGGATTCCTGAGACGAGCACAACGCACCCTATTGGACCAACCCTGGCAGATTGTGCAACTGGTGCCAGTCGATGATCTGGGACACTTTACCGTGTGGGCCTTGATCGGTGAGGAGCTGCACAAGATTAAGTTGACAGTGCCGAGGATTTTCTATGTTAATCAGCGGAGTGCTGCTCCGCCTGAGGAGGGTCAACTTTGGCGTAAAGTTAATCGAGTTCTGCCACGATCCAGACCCGTTTTCAATCTCTACAGATATAGTGTTCCGGAGCAACTCTTTCGTGATAACTCTCTTGGAATGTTAGCTGATCTGGCCACCCCTGACATCGAAGGTATCTACGAGACACAGATGACCCTGGAGTTCCGCGCTTTGATGGATATGGGCTGCATTTGTGGTGTACAACGGGAAGAGGCACGCCGTTTGGCCCAACTAGCCACCAAAGATCTCGAAACCTTCAGTATCGAGCAGTTGGAGCAGCGTCCACAGACACAGGTCAAGTATCTGGCAAGCGCTAGCAACCGACTGCGCAAGATCTACCTGTATCAGCACAATACTCCCACGGCCAAGAAGGAGATCTGGTCAATGATCCTTATGCCCAGCAAGAAGGCCTACATCTTCGCCTTGGACACTGTACGAGCCAATCAGATGCCCAACATGAGGCAGCTGTATACAGCAGAACGATTGGCTTTGCTCAAGAATTTGACAGACGAAGAGAAGGATAAGATTCCCGTTGAGGATTACACCTTTGAGGTGATCATAGAGGTGGATGTCAAGCAGATCTATCGGCATATACAGCGGGCACTGACCACCTACAAGCAGGAGCATCAGGGTCCTACCATTTTGTGCCTTCAAACGGCGTTGGAGGCGCGAAAGCTAAGTCTGGCCATGCCCATTCTTTTGGAGTTCCCCCAGGCACAGATCCACATATCCGATGATGCCAGTTTGTTGTCCGGCTTGGACTGGCAACGTCAGGGCTCCAGAGCAGTCATCCGTCACTTTTTGAATCTAAACAATGTCCTCGATTTAATGTTGGATCAATGTCGGTACTTCCATGTGCCCATTGGCAATATGCCTCCAGATACGGTGCTCTTTGGAGCGGATCTATTCTTTGCCCGACTGCTCCAGCGACATAACTTTGTACTGTGGTGGTCAGCGAGCACCAGACCAGATTTGGGTGGCCGTGAGGCGGATGACAGTCGACTGCTGGCGGAATTTGAGGAGAATATCAGTGTGGTGCAGAACAAAGCTGGTTTTTATCCGGATGTTTGCGTGGAGCTGGCGTTAGACAGCTTGGCGGTGAGTGCTCTGCTGCAATCTACAAGGATTCAGGAAATGGAAGGTGCCTCCTCTGCCATTACATTTGATGTGATGCCACAGGTCTCTCTGGAGGAGATGATTGGCACAGTTCCGGCTGCGACATTGCCCAGCTATGATGAAACGGCTCTGTGCTCAGCTGCCTTCCGAGTGATGCGCTCCATGGTGAATGGTTGGCTGCGCGAGGTGTCCATCAATAGGAACATCTTCTCCGACTTTCAGATCGTTCACTTCTATCGATGGGTGCGCTCTAGTAATGCCTTACTATACGATCCTGCTCTGAGAAGATCCCTAAACAATCTGATGAGGAAAATGTTCCTCCGGATTATAGCCGAGTTTAAGAGATTGGGTGCCACCATCGTATATGCGGATTTCAACAGGATCATTCTTAGTTCCGGAAAGAAATCTGTAACGGATGCCCTGGGTTATGTGGACTACATCGTGCAGAGCTTAAGGAACAAGGAGATGTTCCACTCCATCCAGCTAAGCTTCGAGCAGTGCTGGAACTTTATGCTCTGGATGGATCAGGCTAATTTCTCAGGGATAAGGGGTAAACTTCCTAAGGGTATTGATGAGACAGTGTCATCTATAGTATCCACTACCATGCGAAGGGATACGGAACGAAATGAAGACGAAGAGGAGGATGAGGAAGAGGATGCGGAAAACAGAGATCTCGTTGAGATCACCGAACCTGAGCAGGAGCAGGAGGATGAACTTTCCCTGGAGCTGAACTGGACAATTGGTGAACATCTGCCGGATGAAAACGATTGTCGCGAGAAGTTTGATTCCCTTTTGACCCTGTTCATGCAATCCCTGGCCGAAAGGAAGACCACCGAGCAGGCCATCAAGGACATCTCGCACTGCGCCTTCGACTTTATCCTTAAGCTGCACAAGAACTATGGCAAAGGAAAGCCCAGTCCGGGTCTAGAACTCATCCGCACCCTGATCAAGGCGTTGAGTGTGGACAAGACGCTTGCGGAGCAGATCAACGAATTGCGCCGGAATATGCTGCGTCTGGTTGGGATTGGGGAGTTCTCTGATATGGCAGAATGGGAGGATCCCTGTGATAGTCACATCATTAATGAGGTTATCTGTAAGGCCTGCAATCATTGTAGGGATCTGGATCTCTGCAAGGACAAACATCGCGCCATGAAGGACGGAGTGTGAGTACATCAGCCTAAACCTTTTAATACATTTTAGCTAATTATGTTTGATTTTCCAGTCCCGTTTGGCTCTGTGCTCAATGCTATGTGGCCTATGATAACGAGGAAATCGAGATGAGGATGCTGGATGCCCTGCAGCGCAAGATGATGTCCTATGTGCTGCAGGACCTACGCTGTTCCCGCTGCAGCGAGATCAAGCGAGAGAATCTGGCAGAGTTTTGCACCTGTGCTGGTAATTTTGTGCCCCTTATCAGTGGCAAGGATATCAAAACACTACTGGGTACATTTAGCAAGGTGGCCACCAACCATAAGATGCAGTTGCTCCAGCAGACGGTTCAACAGGCATTAACAACTCCGCGATAGAGTTGTAAGACAACTCTCAGATTGTTATTTTGTAGATATTAGGACTCGTTTGTAAGTTTTGCTTCTAAGTATAATATATCGTTAATGGAATTTTAAGATTTATGCTCAGTCTGCTTGGTTAAGATGGACGTATTTAGAGTTTCATTTTGAAGGACGCACTAATTGCACAATTTAAGCACTTATTGGTGATTCAAAACCATGGAAATATGAGGAGATATGATGATGAGATGTCTCACTATACATTCCTTTTAGATGCACACACTTTTGATGGGTTTTACAAACGTATCGTTTGATGTTTTCCAGATTTTATTGGTTGTTGTTGACGTAGTGCCCATGGTTTTTGGGAGCACATTTCGAAATCAGCAGCAGAACTTAAAGCAATTAGACTAACTCATAGGCGAGGCTTGATCTTTACTGGGGGGCCTGGGTGATGGGGTCCACCTTGACATCGGGGAACTGGAATTCGGGGAATTTCAGCATGTCGGTCTTGCCATCGCTGCCGTACTGCTTGGCCACACGGTCCAGTTCGGTTTTCAGCTCTCGCTCAATATCAGGGTTGGAGTCAACCAGCTTGCCACCACTTGGGATAATAAAATTTAGTTTTTAAAGGTTTAATCCTCAATCAAGAAGCCAAAACTTACGAGCTCTTCTGCTTGTACTCGCGCACTTTGTCCAAGAACAGCTGCTGGATGGGATCGGAGGCCTTGCTCAAGGCAGGAGCCACAATTCCGAAGTTACGACGGGCCTCGGTGCGCAGGACACGCATGCCACTCAGGAGGGATTGCGACAGCATCTGGAATTTAAAGATTCTCGTTAAAATTGTAAATTTCGGCTTCCTTCATATGTAACCTTAAAAAGGTTATGTAATACGAGTTGTTGTTTTGGGGTTTTCTTGAGAGTTTTAAAGCTGATATAGCTAGTAACTATAGTTTTTCTTCGAACAAAACACTTCAAATTATTTAGATTGTATTTTAACTGTTATTTTCACCTTATTTTCCTTGGCAAATGCAAACTTTCGTGCGGAAAAGTGTCAATTGTTAGTTCACAATGGCAGTTGGGGGTTAGGGATGGGCACGTTACAGGCTTTTGCAACACTATCGTGTTCGTGCAATAGGTATTTAAAATAGTTAAACATAAAATTTAAAAAAAAAATAACAAATAATAAACAAAAATATTGTAAAATCTAAAATCCTACCGTGTAGATAATTGGTTTTAGGATGTTATATATGGTTACTACAGTAAGTAATACGCCCGTCTCTAATTCAGAGTTACCCACTGGTCAAAATAAGTATGGCCAGCTCACGCTGCTTTAACACTGGTCACACTGATCGTCCAGGTTCCACGTCAAGCGCCGGAAAAAAAACACGACTTGCATTTAATTAATTTATCTGGCGACCGGACGAACGGATTTCTAGCAAGATGGTGAGCCTGCTGCAGGAGATCGACACCGAGCACGAGGACATGGTCCACCATGCAGCGCTGGACTTCTACGGACTGCTTTTGGCCACCTGCTCCTCGGACGGCAGCGTCCGCATCTTCCATTCGCGCAAGAACAACAAGGCGCTGGCAGAACTCAAAGGCCACCAGGGACCTGTGTGGCAGGTTGCATGGGCGCATCCGAAGTTTGGTAACATACTCGCCTCGTGCTCCTATGACCGCAAGGTGATTGTCTGGAAATCGACATCGCCCCGAGATTGGACTAAGCTGTAAGTAAACGCACACAGACAACCGGGCACACCCATACAAGCACAACGGGATGTGCTTTTACGGGGGAGTCGGTTAAGGGATACTCATTAATCAAATCATTTAAAAACAATATTGGTGTTTATAAAAACCTTTGAGATAGATTAACCAATATTCTATTCACTTTACTTATCCAAATTTGTTTTATTAACTATGAATATTGCAATAGCTATGTCTAGTGTTGAAATCACAGACATATAAATGTTTTTATAGTGATATCAATATTGCTATCCAAAAATTATTAGATAATGCCGATTCATTAGAGCACTACTAATTTTTAAATATTAAATATTCTTTATATTCTTTACACATTGAAATGCAAACTATCATCAAAAATACATAAAAACAGGGTATTAAAACAGACACACACGCACTTGTCCAACCGAAAACTATGTCATACATATGTTTGGACCGCTGTTATCATTTAACGACTGCCACATCTAACCTTTGTGCTTGCCACATTTCAGCTATGAATACAGCAACCACGACTCGTCGGTGAACTCTGTGGATTTCGCCCCATCGGAGTACGGATTAGTTCTGGCCTGCGCAAGCTCGGATGGCTCCATTTCGGTGCTTACCTGCAATACGGAGTACGGTGTGTGGGATGCCAAGAAGATACCTAATGCCCACACCATCGGAGTAAATGCCATATCCTGGTGTCCGGCCCAGGCACCAGATCCAGCATTTGACCAGCGGGTTACATCGCGGTCGACGGCCGTGAAACGTCTGGTTAGCGGTGGATGCGATAATCTGGTAAAGATCTGGCGCGAGGACAACGACCGCTGGGTTGAAGAGCAGCGCCTGGAGGCGCACTCCGATTGGGTGCGTGATGTGGCCTGGGCGCCGTCGATCGGTCTGCCCAGGTCGCAGATTGCCACAGCTTCACAAGATCGCCATGTGATCGTGTGGAGCAGCAACTCAGATCTGACACAATGGACTTCAAGTGTGCTGCACACATTCGATGATGCCGTTTGGAGCATTTCCTGGTCCACCACTGGCAACATACTGGCCGTCACTGGTGGCGATAATAATGTCACATTATGGAAGGAGAACACCGAAGGCCAATGGATCCGTATTAACTATGAATCAGGAACTGCCATCCAGTCGAAGCAGCCTTCACACCTTTCCCATCCTCATTCTCAGCAGCAACAGGCGCCACAACAGCATCAACAGCAGGCGCCATCGCATCCGGGTCCATCCTCCGACTCGGAGCACAGCTCGAACCTGTCAAACTCGCAACTCTCCAACTAAGGAAACCTTAAAGAAATATTCGTGCTGAAGTCGTGGTCAAAAGTGTTATCTTACAAATAAATAAATATACAAAATACAGTTTAACGTTCCCCTTTAAATGAGGTTTAGTTTATTTTTATTTGAGACCAAATATGCAGTTTTAATTTGTTAATCTGTCTTTTGAATTTCTGTTATAGGGTTGGAGTTGTTTAAATTTTATTTTAAATTTTTTCTTAAAGTAACTTCAATTTATTGAAATAAAATATCAAAATTTTTTATTATTCTAATCTTAAAATATAAAATGAATGAAATAAAGAAAATTTATAAAACGGAATACACTGATATTGAAAATTTGTTCAAAAATGGGCTTTAATACAAAAGATTATTTAAAAATCAAAATTTTAAAAAAATAAATATTATAGTTGGCAATGCCTTTTCTCTTATCCATGACATGCGCCTTGACTTTTATGTAACCCTAGTATTAGTGGGGTTCCACACCATCAAGTTTGTTTATTTCTATCGATAGTTGCAGAGTCAGAGAAATTTTAGCAAATATCGATAGTATCGAATAAACATTGATTTTTGTTCCGTCTCTACTTCTCTTTCTTTTCTGCGCACCACGTTTCCGATTCGACGTCAAAATGAATGCGACCCTTCCGATTTCCAAGAAACGCAAGGTAAATGTGTGAAAATGACCTAGGATTAGCACCGGTATAAGGTCCTATATCCGTCAATTCGTTGTACCACCGGAGTTGTGTGAAAAACCTGGCCGGAAAGTGCAAAAACCGCTAAGTTTCGGAGATAACCTCAAAGCAGATGGGCGTCCCAAAAATTTTTGGGAGCTCAACAACGCGTGGTGAAACAACAATAACAAAAAGAGGAGGCAGGAGATTCATCTTATTGGATCCATGGTAGTAATGGTTTCTTCTCCTCCCAACAGTTCGTTTCCGATGGTATCTTCAAGGCTGAATTGAACGAGTTCCTGACTCGTGAGCTGGCTGAGGATGGTTACTCCGGCGTGGAGGTGCGTGTGACCCCATCCCGCACTGAGATCATCATCATGGCCACCAAGACCCAGCAAGTGTTGGGCGAGAAGGGACGTCGCATCCGTGAGCTGACCGCCATGGTCCAGAAGCGTTTCAACTTCGAGACCGGACGCATCGAGCTGTACGCCGAGAAGGTTGCCCATCGCGGCCTGTGCGCCACCGCCCAGGCTGAGTCGCTGAGGTACAAGCTTACCGGAGGATTGGCCGTTCGTCGTGCTTGCTACGGTGTGCTCCGTTTCATCATGGAGTCGGGAGCCAAGGGCTGCGAAGTCGTCGTGTCCGGCAAACTGCGTGGTCAGCGTGCCAAGTCGATGAAGTTCGTCGATGGTCTGATGATCCACTCGGGAGATCCATGCAACGACTACGTCGAGACTGCCACCCGTCATGTGCTCCTCCGCCAGGGAGTGCTCGGTATCAAGGTCAAGATTATGCTGCCCTACGATCCCAAGAACAAGATTGGCCCCAAGAAGCCTCTGCCCGACAATGTGTCCGTTGTGGAGCCCAAGGAGGAGAAGATCTACGAGACACCCGAGACGGAGTACAAGATCCCGCCACCAAGCAAGCCCCTGGACGATCTGTCCGAGGCGAAAGTTTTGTAAACCTAGTTTTACTGTTCATCCAATGAGCGACTAGCTGAAAGAGTTGCCCTCAAATATAACAAAACAACAGAAACAAAACAAAAAACACATAATTCAATAAACACAACCAATAAGTAAATAATACATTTGTGCAGTGCAGTGTAGAGTGCGAGGGTTGGCCCTAAAGTTGCCACTGTCCAAATTGCAAAACCAGTTTTTTTGTTGTATGCCCTTGAAGGCAGTTTGCAGTTTTTGTCAGTGAAGAAGTTCTTTTTGAATTTATGAAATGTGTTGGATCTTTTTAGTTTGCCAGAATTTAAAGCTAATGTGTGGATCTCGAATCTAAAGGCTCCTGCAGCAATGATAAAATTTAAGCAGTTATTATATTTCGAATATCTACTTAATGTCAAGACTTACTTCTTTAAGCATAGCCTTCCATAAATCATATGAAATGAAATCGATTTACTTTTGAAAATAGTTGAGAGAGCTTTATGTTACGTAGAATTAGAATGCCATATAAACGGACGAATACATTTTTTGATAACTGATCAGATTGACATTAAAGACTTATTTTACATAGGAGTAATAAATTATAAATGTTGGCAATTTTCTAGGAGGTTATATAGCATTCAGATAATAAAATAAATTAGACACAACAGTTATTCAGAGATCAGAGCCCAAGCTTGGTAGCAACTTTCATAACTTTAAGGGTATCTTAACTTCGGCCTTGCCGAATTGAACTTCCTTTCTTGTTTCGCTTCGCCGTGCCGCATTTTATTTCAATTTCTTGTGAAGCGGAAATCAGCGATTAAAACGGCTCACATTTTGTCCAGTTTTCTGGCTGATTTATGAGGCTGTCCTTCGGGGCAACATGAGTGTCCGGTGTGTGTGGTGTGTCTGTCTGGCAGTTACCGCTGGGACCGCTCTGCTGATAACCCGCTCCTCTTATTTATCATGTTGATATGTTTATTTCCCAGCTGGCACAGTGACACGGCCTCAGGCAATTGCTGCAGCGTGAAAATCAACAATCGTTCAATTTATCAACATTTGCAAGATTATAACAGCGAGTGCGGGAGAAAGAGATTCCTTATTTTTTCAGATTTTTTTTCCCTCAAAGAGTTCGTGCCCGTTTGGAGCGGACTGAAATCGCAGCTGCAGCACACGATCCTCGATCCCGATGACAAATGGCCACATGCAACACTCCACCAACTTCTCCTCATTCTCCTCAGCCTTCTAGCCATCAGATGATGAGGAGGTGGAGCAAAATTTAGGAGGAGGAACCAGGCGGCTTGTCTCGACGGCATCACGCATCAAGTTGCGATTTGCGCCATAAATCTAAATTAGCTGGTCGTAGTCGTAGGAGAGTCGCCGCAGTTCCTGGTTGCACTATTAAACTGGCTACCTCCACTTGCCCCAATCAATTAGGTGCCGCATAAAAAGCAGACGAAACAAATTTCCAGGCCATCGACTGTGAGAAATATTTGTAAAGTATGTCCATTGTTGTTGCGGTTCATTTCAACGCTGGCATAACTCATAAAGAACCTTTTAAACACGACTTTGAACGTATGATTTCAACACAATTTGTAAATAAATTAGATCGTGATTATGGCAACATCAATATCTCCAGCAACATCAACATCACCAGAACCGACAGCAGCAGCAACAGCAACAACAGGCATCCCCGTAGCAGCAACATTATTAACCGGCCAGTGTCTGGCATGTGTGGGGCTGCCATAGCTCTCCTACTAACTATATATTATAATGGGCCCGAAACAACAAAGCCAAAACAAAGTAAAAACAAAACAAAAAAACTCGACAATTGCCGTCAACAAGTCTGCAATGTCGGCAGCAATGTGTTGCTGGTGTTGCTAGTCCATGTTGCTGTTGTGCGCCAGAGTGCAACATGCATATTGTCTGTCGAGGCTGCGCAGGTTCATAACTCGCCTGTCAGCTGCCAGGCTGAGTTCTGATGAAGGCAGTTAAGTCTAGATAGGACACTTAACTGATACACTTTAGATCCTTATTTATAAGTTATTATAAATATATTAATTTTATTTAAAAGAGCTTTCGTAAGGTAATCCTAATGATGCTAAAGATTTCATTAAAAATTCGAGTTGCCTGTAAGAAAGCTAAGATTTTGTCGCACGGAAATGTATCCTATAACCCGAAGTACCTGAAGTACAATCATCATCATATGTTAAAACCAAAATATACCCCATAATCCGTGGACTCATATCCCCTAGCAAGTGTACCATAACAATGCATCGTAACTGTAATAGTTGCAACTATTTTTTTTTTGTAAGGTTGTTCGAGTCTGACTATATTTGCTTTGATTTACCAACATTATTATGAGGTTTTGTGTCATGATTTTGCCATCATTATTTAGCATTAAGAAACGATGGCGCGTAATGTGTTTTTCATGTGAACTGCCAGGCCAGACGACATTTATCATCATCATCATCGTCCGTCCCCATCAGATGTTGGTGGCTTCGCTTGGATTTGGATTTGGTTTTGTAGTTGAATTTGGAACTTCACTGATCACTGGTAATAGCCACGTTTGCCGGCCTCCTGCACGATCGTTTGGATGGATGCGAAGGCTTCGGCGGCGGTGGGTTCGATCTCATTGGCGGACAAGATGAACAGATCCTCGCTGTCAGCCGGGCCACGCAGCTCGTACGAGAAGGTAATCGGTATCTTCAGTTGACCATGAGCCCAATCCTTTGATCCACCAGATGAGGGATAGATGGTTTCGTAGATACTGCCACTTTTGTAGATCCTACCACTAACATCCTTGATCTTCCGAGCAGCCAGTTCACCAATCTCCTTCAGATCCTGATAGTTTTCCACACGTTCGGCGGAGTGTCCATACGGAAACATAATCATCTGGGAGTAGCTATGCAAGGCTAGGAAGGTACGTATCCGTTCAGAATCCAAGCGGTTCTTGATAAACTCAGTCATTGCGCGAGTTTCCACCTCACTTCCAGCCGATGGTCCTGAGTAGTCATAACGGCAGGGATCACCACTAGCTCCTGTGACATTCCAGTGGAAAGGGAAGTTCCGGTTGAGATCCACACCTCGGCAGATGCCAAAGAGTGCTCGGTTTTTGCGCCACATGCGATCACCCTGGAAGGTGTACTGATATCCATCGGGATTAACGCTGGGAAAGATGTACCAGTTCTGGGAACGAGCTAGTTCCTGGATGGCAGGATTCTTGGAGTTTAGCAGTTGATCGATTATATACGTAGCTGTGGCCGGAGCTATCCATTCACGAGCATGTATGCCACTCTCCACAAAGACAGTAGTCAGATTCTCCCTGCCAAAAGCTATTTTCACACCTTGAATGGGTCTTCCCTGAGTGCTGAGTCCCATATTGACAATAGTAACCGCATCATTATGCGTCTTAGCCAGATGCTCTAGCCAGGCATTGATACTCGCTAGCGGATGATAGCGTTTCCAGTCGAATTGTTCGGGACTCTCTCCATCAGGTGCCACTTCACGATAGTTGGCATCTATCAGAGCCTGAAAATTGTGGTTAAGTACCCTGTGGGTCACATTATAGCTATGCACCAGGTCGTCGAAGTCAGCCACCTTGGCAGCCGTAACCATAATGGTTAGTTTTTGACCTGGTTGTCTAGCATGACCCATGAAGGAGCACGAATCGCTGGCCAATTCCAGAGCCTGAAAGAGCCGGACATGTTCTTCACTAGCCAGTTCCACTTGGTAGATGCGGGTGTGATCGTAGCGGGCTTGCACAGGAGCTGGAATAGCTACTGGCTTGATCTCCTCATCCAGAGTACATTGATCTGCTTTGGTACAGAAACTTGCTGCCTTGGATAACTGAATGAGGCCAAGACTAACCAGGAGGAGCAGCAGAAGGATCCCCTTGGGTAGCATCTTGAATCTTCAAAAGTCAAAACTGATTTAAAATTTTTCCATTTGTCAGCATAGAGAGGGAAATTTACACACAAAAGAAAGTGGAGATAAGGAAATATAAGAGGCTAAGGAGTCGACTGATTGATACCTTGGAATATAAGTATTTGTATTTTTAGTATAAATGATAAATAGTTAAAAAATATCATGGCTAAAAAATGTGGATCAAAAATATTTGATTAGTTCGGTTATTAAGGACTGGCTTAAAAATGTAGACTACAGCTAGCCCTAGAAGCTTTTCAGATTAACATATTCATAGGGTATTGTCAAGATCTGATTTAATTATAGAAAACATTGAACTTGGTGAGCACTTCTCACGTATATGATAAGCTCAGCTCTCTATGGGCAAGCTTCCCCATTGAGCTTTCGTTTCCCAAACTCATCACTGATGTTCTAAGGCGATCTTCCTGAACTCTGTATCCCCTTCTTATTGCCCGACGGCCAATCGAAGTCAACGATTTATGATCACCTTTCATAACACTTCATTAGTTACATTTTTGGTAGAATTTATAGCGCAATTGCAATAGGAAAACGTTTAACGAGCTTGTTCTCGAGCGGGGAAAACGCCGAGCGGACCAAATTTGGACGGGGCCAATTGCCTCGATGGCGAACAAGTGGATGGCGCAACATGAGTCCAAGTCCAGTGACGATGTTACCATGTTACCACGTTTATACCATGTCGCCGCAGTTGCGTCTTCGTTTCAACTTGTTTGCCAGCTCGGGGAACCAATTAAACTCAACCTGCTCAAATATTTTGGCGCTGCTAATGGAGCTTAAATGGTAATGTGGTCCAAGGTTTTTTACCACGAAGATCTTCTTCGTCAGCGGCGGTAGCCAAGAGTTTATTGCTTTATATTTCTAAATCAATGCGAAAATGTTGTTAAAACTTTATCGAAAATCTGTCAAATGGTTGTCAAAGAGACATAAATTTAAGATTTTCAAATAATATTTCAGTAATTTCAGTCTGTAGGTTACGTAAAATGCAAGAAATTTCAAGGAAATTTCTTCCTTAGTTAGCAGCCTGAATCTTTCCCTTAAGTTTGTATAGTTTTTAAAGTTTTTAAATACATTTAGTTAAATATTATATGATTTTTAACAATTAATAATACAGCTCTTAATTTGTTACTTACTTACTTTATTAATTAATTTTAATTAATTGTTTTCAACTTATTAAAAGCTTTGTTTATCAGAAGTTTTCTCACTCAATTTGCAACTGGCTTAGCCTGGGTTATTATGCAATTGCTATTCCACCATCGCAATCCATCCAAAGCAATCCGTTCATATACGAAAATTCATTTCTCTTAATTGACTTAACGTGACTTGGACTTGAGAAAAACCAATTACAAAGCCACATTAATATCTGGCAACAATTTGCTGCCTTTTGAGCAACACAATTTTCTGGCTGGCATGCAACCGAAATTTTAATTAAGAAAATCATTTTCCTATTGGGGGTGGTAGTTGCAGGTTGTTTTTCTTTTTCGTATATTATTTTTTATTTTTTTTTTGTATTATTTTTTATTCAGCGTGGGCGGCTTATGCACAAAATAATCTTATCAAACATTTTGGCAATTAATTCGACAGAGTGACAGCGAGGGGTTTTAATCGAGATGGGTTGGGAGGGGGTGGCGGTTGTTGGTCTAAAGAAACCGCAAACAGAAGCTGCGGATTGGCTAGTTGACCATAAAAGCATTTTAATTTCTTAATTTACCACAAACTATAAATCATGGCCTTAGGTGTTTTGGCCATATAATGTAAGCCACCTTGCAGTGGCATTCGCATTCGCACCATTTTCCAGCATTTCGCAGTCGCTATGGAAATGCCTTCCATCTTTTTCCTCTAATTTAGTGCACTGGGAAAAATATAATTAAATAGAGTTTTCTTCGGATATTTTTAAGCTTCTTAATTATTTTTAGAATTTTAATTTTTAGAACTGCCTTGAGAATAGTTGGGAAGAGAATCTTTCTCCTTATGAACTTACAACTATTAAGTACTTTAGGAGCTATATTAAGTTAGTATAGTTATATTTCCTTAAACTCATATGCTTATTAAATCTAAGCTTAAATAATTCCTTGATTGGAGATCTCAGACTTGGTCATATAACTAGTTTATTAACAAAATTTGAGAGGACTTGCTTAGATTTTACAACAAAAAAAGATATTTTTCTTGGAAGTAAGAAACAGATTAACTTTGATCTTAACTTAAAATCCTCTATTTTTTTCCCAGTGCACCTTTCATGACAGCTTGGGTGTTGTAAAAATACCAAAAATACCTGGCAGCCGTGTTGGTCACGTCTTGGCCGCCTGTCTGGACCAGCGGCTTCATTAGGTGATGCTTGTACATATTAATTAAAATGTGTATCCCGCAGATACACTCGTACACCAATACGTATACGTAGCAACGGCTCAGTGCCATAGATGGTGGGGCACTAAATCATCTCCCCGGGCAATGTCTATTGCAATGCGACTATCAACTATTTGCACTGCTTTCGCATATGGAAATCGTTGCAACATGTTGAGTTTTCCAACTGCTCGGCTATGTTTGCGTTAATTGGCAACACTTTCTTGGGGCCGGGCTCTGGCTGCTACCATAAGAATGAAGCCAATTCAAATTGAACAATTACAATTACGGAAAAATCTTAGTTAGTCTCTTAGCTGACTTTTTTTTTTGGACACATAAATCAAGGAAATGTCAGAAATTTGCCATGACTTGTCGCGCGTCTGGGTTTTTGGCCGCCAAATTAATGCAATTTTGTGTAAATTACTCATTAAAAACGAAATAAATTTCCAGTGGAAGGCATAAATCACGCCTTATAGAGCTCTACACAAGCCACACAAATGGCTAACACAAAAAACAAAAAAAAAAGCTAACAGAAACCTCTCAACTAAACAAAAGTCTCGATTACCCCCGGCCAGGTTGTAAATGAAATTTTCATTTGTGCCTGGCAATCGACGGGGTGCAAACCGGGGGTTGGGGAAGAGGGAAAACTCCAATTAGATATTTTATTGCTAATGTGAGCTTGTCAGATCGCTCTAGACCAGGCCAACTCCGAGTGTCCAGCTCCGGTTGTCCAATGTGTTCGGTGCCTGTCTACATCAATTAAAAGCGCATTTGACAATGATATTTATACTTGGGCTCGGTCTTCGGGTTTTCGGTTACCAAGTTCGGTAATTATAGATCAACTTGGCCAATTCGCCCATTGGAAAAGTGTGCTCTCTCGTGAAATATATGTGCTATATATATATATATATATTGTTACTAACGGACTGGGAATGATTGGGCAAATGGCCTAGTGTTTTGGCCAGAAAACAACATTGTTGCATTGCCAACCAGCTAGTCAGCAAATTATCAGCGGGCCAAAACAAATGTAAAAATGTTTGAATTCGTAACAAACACACTCAGTGGCCATATTTGTTTGGGCCCAAACTAATGACGTGGCTTTGCTGGCCGGTGTTTTAATTGTGAAATGCCGTGCAATAAATTGCAAGATGGCCAAAAAATCGATTGAGCCAGCAAGAGTACAATGGCATGTAACGAAAATCTAAGCTTCAATTTTTAACACATTAAAAAGGTTGAATATTAAATAATAAAAAAAATTTTAAATTTTTTCCTGATTTTTCCTGAGCTAAATTTTGCTAAATATTTCTTTTTATAAACTTTCATCTTCTAACAAAAAGAGCTTCCATTTTCATCATTCAGAAGTTAGCTTTACTACTTCCAGTATATTAAGCCTAAGTTTCCTTTTACTTAACCCTATAAAAATGATTTTTTAACCCATTGTACATCAGCCAGAGCTAGCCCAATATCCTGAGCGCAACTGCAATTCAATTACAGCTCAATTTCATGGCAGCAGCAGAGAGCCATGGCCATTTAGAGAGCACGGCGACAATTTGTTTATGGAACCGCCGCGGACTTTAAATGGTCCGGTGCATAAATCACTCGCTCTCTGGTCCGATCAACCCCGATTGTCAATTGCCAATACATATCGCTTGTAATTGGTAAGGCGGAGCTTTGGCCCAAAACATCACCCACCAGCCAAATATAACTAACTACTAACTGGTTCCTAGTTTTCCTTCTGTTCCTCTTGTGGTTCTCACTGAAATTTCGCATGGCAAAACAATTTGCATGGATCTCTGATCCAATTGCAATTAGACTGGCATGTTGCCCTCGGGGCAGCAGCAGTAGTAGCAGCAACATTGGCCATTGTACAGCAGCAGCAACATGCCGCAGAGTTGCTAACTGTTGCCACTTAATTTCTTAATTTCCCATTGCGTGTTGTATCTAATGTACTAATGACATCATTTGCCAGGCCTAGACTAGCTAGCCTAATACTCTATAGGGTCTAGATTAGTGACTTTTCTAACATGGTTTTGTATTATCCTTTGGCCTAGCAATTGGCGGTAGCAGCAGCAAGTGGCACATTGCATGCTAGAAATCCGCTTGCAACACACCAGCAACACTCTAGCCATGAGCAACTCATACATGTGGCCAACACAAGGCAAACGTAAAACGACTTCCTGCTCCTCGAACATGTCATGGCGGGCCAACAAACATGCAACAACAGCAGCACACATGTGGATGTTATGCACTGTGAGAAAATTATTGATAAAATTAAGAAATTAAGGAGAGATTACCTAATTTTGGATTAAGAATTTCTCATAAGAAATGTTTGAGTTACTAAGATTTTCTTGTACAGCCATAATTTTGGGGGCTTACAACAAATTGAGTTGAAAAAGTCGCTTACTTTTCTCAGTGTAGCACCATATATCATACACGCAGGCGCCTCTTCAAAAAGTCGGTTGCTGTTATTGCCGCTGCTGCTGCTGCATGCTGCCTCATCTTTAGCGGCCTCTTCAGTCAATAAAAATCTCTGGCAAAAATGTTGCTTACGAAAAATCCAACAACCACCGCATGCCAACATGATTTTTCTTGCTTTTTCATTATTGTATTGCGACATTTTTGCGTTGGTTGCTGCTCTGCGAAATCAAAGCAAGGCAACAGCAACAAGCAACATGCACAACA